GTGGGAGAATAGAATGTAACCATCTTCCCAATTCACCATCATTCCATTTTTGTTGCCAACTGATGAGGACATGCTGGCGAGCAATGGAGAAAAATTCGTTGAAGGCGATTTGTCGCTCAAAAATATCGCCTTCCATAGCGCCCACCTTAGCCAATGAGTCCGCTTTCTCATTACCCGGAATTGAACAATGAGATGGGACCCAAGCTAAGGTGATAGTATAGGAGCAGTTAGATAAAGCACTCAGTTTAGTTCGTATTTCAGGCAGGAAATACGTGGAGTGCTTCATCGGCCTCATTGAACGAATAGCCTCCAATGAGCTAAGACTATCCGTAAAAATGAAATAATGGTCAGAAGGTAGTGAGGCAATTCGCTCTACTGCGTAAAATATAGCTGCGAGTTCCGCAACGTATACGGAGCATGGTTTCTGCAGTTTATAGGAGGCACTATGAAATTGATTAAATACACCAAATCCAGTGGAAGCATTTATGGTTGACCCATCTGTGAAAAATCTTTTATCGTTACTTACATGGTGGTACTTGATTGCAAAAATTGAGGGAACAACCATCGACTGATGGTGATCTGGTATTCCATGGATTTCTTGCATCATGGTCAGATCAAAATTTACAGAGGAACTATAGAAGGCTTGAAAGCAATCACGATTGGAGATTAATGAAGAAGGACCAACCTCCAGCGTCATGTACTCATAGTACAAACTCATGAATCTTGTTTGAGGATTTTGGTCGAGCAGCTTCTCAAAGTGTTCTATTACCAAAGGATTCAATACTTCACAACGGATGAGAAACCGGAAAGACAGCTCAGCGAAACGATCTGTCAGTGGGAGAACACCCGCGAGTACTTCGAGGTTCATCGTATGAGTCGAGTGCATACAGCCTAGCGCAATACGAAGGCAACAGTATTGAATCCGTTGCAGCTTAAGAATGTGTGTTTTTGCTGCGGATTGGAAGCAAAAGCTGCCGTACTCTAAAACCGAAAGGATGGTTGTTTGGTACAACCTGATCAGATCTTCCGGGTGTGCTCCCCACCAAGTTCCGGTAATTGTACGAAGAAAATTGATTCTTTGTTGGCATTTTTGTTTCAGATACGCAATATGTTTTCCCCATGTGCATTTGGAATCGAACCAGACACCTAAATACTTGAAAGATATACTTTGAGTGATTGTTCTACCCTTTAGTTGAAGCTGTAACTGTGCAGGATGATGCTTCCTAGAAAAAACAACCAACTCAGTTTTCTCCGGAGAGAATTCGATACCCAGCCTCATAGCCCAAGTAGACAAATTGTCTAAGGTATCTTGCAATGGTCCTTGCAGGTCCGGTGCACTTGGCCCTATAACGGACACAACGCCGTCATCTGCAAGCTGCCTTAGCGAGCAATTTTCATCAAGACAACCATCAATGTCTTTTACATAAAAATTATAAAGAAGGGGGCTTAAACATGAGCCCTGGGGGAGACCCATGTAACTAATTCGTAAAGTTGTCGAGTTTCCATGAGAAAAGCTCATATATTTCTCAGACAACAAGTTGCTCAAATAGTTGTTCATAATTGGTGAAAGCCCACTATCGTGGAGTTTATCCGAAAGGACATCGATACAAACAGAATCAAAAGCCCCCTTAATGTCCAAGAAAACTGAACCCATTTGCTGTTTTTGCGCATAGGCCAGTTGAATTTCAGTTGAAAGCAACGCAAGACAGTCGCTCGTTCCTTTGCCTCTCCGAAATCCAAATTGCGTATCTGAAAGTAAACCATTCGACTCGACCCATTTGTCTAGACGAAAAAGAATCATTTTCTCCAACAATTTCCGTATACAGGACAGCATCGCGATGGGACGGTACGAGTTATAATCCGACGCGGGTTCACCGGGTTTTCGAATGGCGATAACTCTGCTCCAGAAATTGATTGAATAAGTTCAACAAGCGTCTCTTCGCGACGTCTGGGAGATTTTTGAGCAAGTTGAACTTGATTCTATCCATTCCTGGAGCTGAGTTGTTACATGAGAGGAGCGCAAGTGAGAATTCCACCATCGAACACGGAGAATCTATTTCGTTACTACCCGACGGACTATCACGAACGTTGGTTTGAACCGACACCGAATCCGGGCATACTTTCCGCGCGAAGCTGAATATCCAAGTGTCTGAGTACTCCTTGTCTTCGTTGACCGGTGATGACGCGTTTCGCATTCTCCTGCCGACATTCCAGAGTGTTCTCATGGAAGTCTCTCACGACAAACCATCGACGAACCGACGCCAGTAACCGCGTTTTTTGGCTTTAATCAAGCTCTTAAAAGTTTTCTCGAGGTCGGTGTACCGCTCGAAGTCCCCGACCTTACCGTGTTTGCGGAAGCGTTTAAACGCGGCGGACTTCTCGCTGTTTGCGTCGGTGCAATCCTTATCCCACCACGGAGTGAGAGGTCGTTTGCGAACGGAACCACCCGGAACGCGTTTCGTCTGTGCTTGAAGAGCGCAGTCAACGATAAGTCGCGATAAAAAGGAGTACTCGTCCAGCGGAGGGAGTATCTCAACCGATTCAATACCACCGAGAACCGTGGCCGCAAATTTTTGCCAGTCGATATTTTTCGTGAGGTCGTACGCGATGTCAACCGAGCGAGTGGAAGATGAACCATTGGTAATAGAAATTCTGATTGGCAAGTGGTCACTACCGTAGGGATCTTGAATTACTTTCCACGAGCAATCCAACGATAGTGAGCTCGAACTGAGGGAGAGGTCTAATCTACTTTCTCTTGCTGGAGGTTTGGCCACTCGTGTTACTTCCCCAGTGCTTAGAATTGTCATATTGAAGTTATCGCAAAGGTCGTATATCAGGGTTGAGCGGTTGTCATCGTACAGTTCCCCCCAGCCTGTACCGTGGGAGTTAAAATCTCCTAAGATCAACCGAGGCTCAGATAAAGCTGAGCAGATATCTGAGAGACCTTGGCGAGAAATCGCAGTTCTTGGAGGAAGATATACTGAGGCAATGCTGAGGCTTTTACCTCGAATATTTACCTGACATGCGACAACTTCAATGCCTGTCACGGAAGGCAGATCGATTCTATGAAAGGAATGGAGCTTATTAATCCCGAGAAGCACCCCTCCATACGAATCTGCTCGATCAAGGCGAATAATGTTAAAATCGTGGAAAGGGAGATCGGTGTCTGAAGAAAGCCATGTTTCACAAAGAGCAAATGCATCACAAAGTGAGTTGTGACCTAAAAATTTGAATGTGTCAAGTTTCGGTATAAGACTTCTACAGTTCCACTGAAGAACAGAGATCATATCCCCGACCTCATTCGGAAAATTATCCATCAAAGGATATGATCGATGCAAGGAAGGACCACCTAGAAGCTAGTTGCTTCAAAAGAGTTTTCACGAATGGAAGCACTAAATTAATAATGTTCCGAGTTGAGTCAGAGACATTGAATATATTGAAGATGCTCTCCACAATTCCAGAAAACGTGAACATGGCATCATGTTCTTGCTGATTATTCAGCTGTTTTTCTGGCTGAAAAACTGGGATATCTGGGGTTTTAGATGATCCCGGAAGTGGCGGAAAGTCCTTGTTAAAATTACAAGACTTAAATCCCGGTGGTGGGGGTTTCGGTACATTTCCGCTACCTCTTAAATTTGTCAAGGTAGGTTGGGAGTCCATACGAGAGGTCTTACGCGGATTTTGAGTGACGTTTTTTTTAATCGCTTTCTCGTATTGCCTTTAAAGACAAAGGGACTACCTTCACCAACCTCTGAGTCAGAGCCCTGATCATCATCTGGCAAAATGGAGTATGTGTTTTTGGTTTTTGGGATGGTTTGGGAAGATGAAGCGGTGTTTTTTAAGAGTTCTGCAAGTGACCTCTTGGAGCGAGCTTGCAAAGACCGCTTAAGTTTTTCTCCCTGCTGTTTGTACTCCGGGCAATCAACCAAAGCATGCAGAGTATCCTTGCAGTAAACACATTTTGGGGTAGCTCGGCAAGGACCATCTGCATGCAGCTCGCCGCATTGATCGCAGCTCGGTTTGTTGGAGCAGAAGTCAGCGGTGTGACCAAGTTGCTTGCATTTTGAGCAGTTCATTACCCGCGGTACAAACAAGCGTACAGGCAGTCGAACCTTCCCAATTACGACGTAGTCAGGTAGCGCCGATCCTGAAAAGGTCACACGGAACGAGTCTGACAGAGAGTATAGGAAACTAATATCTTATTTGATTTGGCTTTATAGAATTGGAAAATTCGTTCATCCATTCTGACTATATCAATATGCATTCTGGTCGGTGGGATTTTTCTGAGGCATAAAAATCTCTGGTCACGTCTTCCTTGGGAAGGGAAGTAAAGCCGTTGGTCCCGGCCCATGTGTGTTGTGAATGGGTGCGATATCCTACGTAGGTGTGGAAGCTGCCTTCCTTGCACATTCGATTGCCGTCAATGGATGGCAATCGATGTCCGTCGGTGATTGGCACTAGATTGCGGAACAGAGACCGACGTTAAATAGAGGAAAAAAAATATGCATTCTGAAAACGATGTGCAGAAATTTAAAATGGACATGTGATTTGCAATTTCGTTTTAATAGCATGTAACTTTGAATATTTATAATTTATAAATTTTGTTATGTTGCTTGAAAGCAGAAGTTTATATTTGCCAAAAAAAAAGCGTCAAGTTTAAATGACAAACCAAATAGTGGTAACTGAAATTAGGCGTCCACTTTATCAAATAAACAGTCATTAGAACAATAATAAACAAAGAGATTACGAAGATTTTTTTGCAAAATACTTCATGACCGAATTCGCGTAACAAAATTAAAATTTCACTTACCCTGTTGACACAGCAGGAATGTTGATCTCCTTACCCATAAGAAGATCTGCGTCCTGATCCTGGTTCTTAACAATCTCCGGTTCTTCGTTAGAACTGACATTTTCATTGATTAACATTGAAGATAAAACAACGAATCGTATTGAATCAAAACATTGAATACTCAAAATAGTAATAAACAAATTTTACTCACCCCGTTGACGCATTGGTTGGATATGTAGGAATGTCGGTCTGCGTATCCAATACATACAAGATCTGCGTTCTCATCCTGGTTCTCAACAATTTCCGGTTCTTCGTTAGAACTGAGATTTTTCATAAAATTTTAGATAAACAGACAAATTGTATTTGTCAGTCCCTCTACGCATCAGACTTTTATATTTTTATAAATTCACATAACCTCAATTCCAAATCTTTCTCATTTATTTTCAAGATGGATGTTTGAGCCAAACTTTGATGCAATGATTCCACTGGAAAATCACACAGCTTTCGTAGAACATAAGAAAAGATATTCAAAGAGTAGACTGATAAAATTGGATTATCACTGTAATAAAGTGCACTCCACACGACAGTTTTTATTGTCAATATGGTTAAACATTCAATATTGACGTCAATATATCGTTCACATCGTCATAATAGTGTCAATACTTGTAAGTATAGACCATATTTCTTACCGTGTGGGGTTCTCTTAGTAATTATTTTCAAGACAGCTAGTTTGGATAACAAAATTCAAATTTTACTTACCGCCTTGTCAAAGTATGAATGATGGCTTCCAAATCCTTTGGACGAGTTGCATTGTGAACCTGGTACTGATCAAATTCCATTTCTTTGTTAGAACTGGTTTTTCCCTTAAGGCTCCACCGGAATGAGAAAATTGGTGAATTTGTAAAAAAAATCATCTGGCATCAAGGAAATGTATTGTAAATGTAAATGTATATCTCTACATGTTGCACTAACATATTTGCATATACATTCGGGGGTAAAATATATATTGGGAATTTAGTGATGGGTGAATATTATGGCTGGAGGAAGTGATCGGTCTGTATATTTCAGAAAACCATGTTAACAATAACTAGGTGGCTTTGTAGTAACATATTGGCTAAGGTTTTTGTTATTAATTTACTATAAAAAAAATGTGAAATCATTAAATCTTCAGAAGATATTTTGCACTTGTCAGTTAAAATAAGAGATTGTATAATAAGTGGTTGACACATGAAACCTGTCAGTTTCACTTTCAGAGAGGCACAATTTTATGATCGTTGAATATTCATTCTTCATGAAGAGAGCATATTTACCAGGGTTGTGGCCATTCGTTTTCTATAAAAACTGGTTTTTCAGCATTGTGAAATCAATTGATTTTATACTTGTAATTAACAAGAAGAAGTTGTTATTTATATATTTGGCACATGAATATTTTCAATTATGCTTTTAGAGAGTCACAATCAGCAATTTTATGATCGGTGAAAATTCACTCTTCATGAATAATTAATAATCATTGATTATAAAATTATGAATCTCTGAAAGCAAAATTGACAGGTTTCATGTGTAAAACACATACTTTACAAACTCATCTTGTTTCTCATATGTGCAAAATATAATCATATCATGTCATCATACATCATATCATATGATGTAATGACTCCATAAATCCGAAAAACATTTGTTTTATAGCAAATGAATGGCTGCAAGCCTGAATGATATTATGGCTGCAAGGATAAAGGTTGATGAACAAATTTTTTAAAGAACTTCAGATTATCATAAACCTGCATTCTGATTAATTACTTATTATTTTGAAGATATCTAATTGTTCAATAAATAAAATCTTGTCTCTTAGTAATTCTCGCAAGAGAAGATTGAAACGCAATTTGTACATTATATTTTGGAGCTTTTTCTATATGATCGATAATTATTCTTTCTCTGCGTCCGTATTCTTTTAATCAGTATTTGTATAGATTATGATAAAAACATATATTCATTGCTTTAAGTAATGATATTGATATTCTAAAAAAATGCATTTTCAAAATACAAAAAATATTCCACTCTTTTTTTTAAATAATTAACAAATATTTCACCCTTTTTGTTTTTTGCGTAAATGAACAAGGTTATTTTTCATTTTTTTTCAATGAGATCCACTTTATACACTTTAGGTACAAAATAATAACCATTACATTTGTCAGATCATTTAATTAGAACAAAATGTGATAAAAGGTATGTTGACAAAGTTGATAATCAGAACGAAATTTATTGTATGTGTTTCAAATGTTCTGCTTCAAAAATATAGTATATTATTGTTGCTATGTTGCTTATGAGAAGAGTTTAAAACTTGCCGATGAAAGCATTAAACTAAGTAGTCAAATAAAAAAAAATGGGGCTGGTGTTGTGTGTTCGTTCTATAACTTGAACAATCCTTAGCCTCGCAAGAAAGTAGGTTGATCCGCAATTATTATTACAATGAACATCAGAAGATCATAAACATGTACTAGGTCTCTGGTTATTTCTGGTTAGTAACTTATGATTATGAAGACCTCTAATTTTTCAATAAATCCAGTCATGTCTCTTGGAAATTCTCGAAAGAGTAGGTTTATTTGCATCTAAAGGAAGGAAATGCATCTAAAGACCTTCAAAAGATCATACACCTGCTCATCCTGGTTGATGGATTGATGATTCCTCCTTATATCTGGAATAAATTGAACAGGAATTGTTTCAAAGACCTTGAGAAAATCATGGACCTGGATGTTTCGGTATATATTCTCGAGCTCTCTTATTGTTCAATAAATCAAAATGTTGACTCTTAGATATACTAGCATGAAAGTAGATTGTTCAAAATTATTGCAAAGAACTTCCTGATCTGTATCCATCTGCACTAAGGTCTATGGATATTCCAAGTGTTATTAATTATTCTGAAAACCTCTAATTTCTCAATAAATCACACCAGGACTGTAAGAAAATCCCCCAAGAGAAGGTTGAACAGGATTTTTCCCAAAGACCTTCAGAAATTCATTGACCTGCAGTATGGTCTCTGGATATTTTGAAAATTATTCTGGTTGATTGATATTTTTTCTTTAATCTCTTATTGTTCAATAAATCAAATCATGCTTCTTAGACATTCTCGCAAAAAGGAAGGTTCATCAGAAATTATTTCAAATACCTTCAGAAGACTAGACCAGCATTATGTTTTCTTAATATGTTGGCATTTTTTTATGATTGATTATTAATTGTTTTGAAGATCTCTAATTATTAAATATATCAAATCATATCTCTTACATATTCTTGCTAGAAAAAGGATGATCCGAAATTATTTCAAAGAAGATCAGTAGATCATAGATCTGCTCTGGATGTTTGTTTGTGTCTGGATATTTCTTGTTAGTCACTTATTATTCTGAAGACCTCTAATTGTTCAATAAATCCAATCATGACTATACGATACTCTCGGAAAATAGTAAGTTGATCAGAAATTTTTCATAAACCAGAAGATCATAGACCAGCATACATTTCTGTGATTATTTTAGGAAATCTTCAAGTTGATAAGTACTTATTCTGATAATCTCTAATTGATCAATAAATCCAATCAATCATCTTAGACATTATCGTAGAATAGGTTGATCATGAATTTGACCAAATTTCTTCAGAAGATCATAGACCTGAAAGATGGTCTCTGAATATGTTGGCAATTTTTCTGGTTATTTGGTTTTCATTCCATAGATCTTCAATAAATCAAACAATGACACTAAGATATTCTCGAAACGAGCCTCCCTTAGCTCAGACAGTAAAATTGCAACTACAAAGCAAGACCATGCTGGAGGTGGCTGGGTTCCATTTCCCAGTCCGATCTAGGAATGTTTCGGGTTGAATAATTTCTTGACTTCCCTTGGCATAGAGTATGATGCTACAATATACACAAAATTATACTAATGCAAAAATGGTACAGGCATCGAAAGCTCTCAATTAATAACTGTGGAAGTGCATCTAGAAAACTAAGTTGAGAGAACGCAATAAGCTAATATGCAATATGCAATAAGCTTAAAATGCGAAGAAAAGGAACATTCTCACAAGAAAGAAGGTTAATCAACATTATTCTAAAGAACTTTAGAAGATCATAGACCTGCACTATGGTATTTTTTATATTTCTGGTTATTTACTTATTTTTCTTAAGACCTCTAATCTAATCTAATATCTCTCTCACTCTCTCGCAAAAGTTGGTTGATCAAGAATGTTTCCAAAGACTTTCAGAATATCATAGACCGCCACCAAGCCGAAGAAGTGTTCCACCCTAATTATTCTGAAGATCTCTAATTGTTCAATAAATATCCTTGTTGGGGCTCTAATTAAGTCCAACGAAAATTCTGCTGGTTTTATTGCCCTGAAAGGCCACATTTATTTGCCCTGAAAGGCTACAATGACTTGCCCTGAAAGGCCACTATTTTGCCCTGGAAGGCACCAAACTTTTCTTTATTTTCCTTATTTAATAACAAAATAATTGATTCGTTCGAACTAAATACTGTGACGGTCGAACTTGTTCTGCTGTTCTCGCAGCGCGTATCATCCTGCCTCTCGTACTTCTCTTTCGTTCTCGGAAATGCTCGTTGTCCTTCTCTCTTTCAAGCAAGCATAGCGTTTATCTTGCGTTGCGAGGGGTTAGTCGATGCATCGTAGTAGGCTGTGTTTGTAACATGTCAAAACTTTTCACTATCGTTCGGACTCGGAAGGAAGCGGACGAACATTCTCCCCGCCGGAAAATTCCAAATTTTCCTCGTCGGTCTTAGCTTTGCAAGCATTTTCCTCGATTGGGAGCGGACAAATCTTGCTGATGGGTCTTCGGAACACGCCTTGAGATGTCTGCAGATCTACCACTCTGACAGCTCCATCCTTTCCCGGGTAAGTTGTGATAACCCTTCCTATTTTTCAGGATTGCGCTGGCTGATGATCCTCCTTCAAGACAACAATCATGCCTTCACGGATATACGGTTGCTTGACAATCCATTTTTCACGTACCTGTATATGGTGCAAATATTCGGACGACCATCTTCTCCAAAAGTGCTGGCGAAGTGATTGAATATATTTCCAGCGGGTCAGCCTGTTAACGGTGATGTCCTCGTATGATGGTTCTAAGATTGCCGTAAGCTCACGTCCGATCAAAAAATGGCCTGGAGTGATCACAGCCAAATCGTTAGGATCACTGGATTGTGTGAATAGCGGACGAGATTTCAATATCGCCTCTATCTGCGTCAGCACTGTCGAAAACTCTTCGAAATTCAACGATGTTGTATGGAGTATCTTCTTCAGGTGAGACTTTACACATTTTACATTGGCTTCCCAAATTCCTCCGAAGTTGGGTGCCCGTGGGGGGATGAACTTCCATTCAATCTCTCTTGGTTGACAGAATTCATCGATGACCTTACTGGTTTGCTGGTCCTTGAAAAGCTTGTAGAGCTCATGAAGCTCGTTGTTTGCTTCGACAAAGTTTAAGCCGTTGTCCGAATTCATCTGTTCAGGTATGCCGCGACGACTTACAAACCTATGCATTGCTGCAATGAATGCTGAAGCACTGAGGTCTGAAACTAGCTCTAGGTGCACGGATTTCGTTGCCATGCAAATGAAGACAGCAATATACGCCTTCACCAAGATTGGTTTTCTAATCCCGTGCTTCACAAAGACTGGACCAGCGTAATCCACCCCGGTTTTGGCGAATGGAGTTGCCGGGATGACTCTGCTTTCGGGAAGGTTACCCATCTTCTGATTTACATCTCTGGGATAAGCACGGAAACACGTTACACAACTTCTGGTGATCATCCTGGCTGCCGATTTGCCGTTAAGCACCCAAAACCGTTGACGAATGGCTGCCAAAAGGCCGGATGGCCCGATATGAAGGTTTTCCACATGAATGGTCCTCATTAGAAGCTTCACAACAGAATTCTTCTCCGGAAGTATGAGTTGATGCTTGGAATAATCAGGTAAATTAGAGTTTTGAATTCTTCCACCAACCTTCAGCAGCCCATTCACGTAAATTGGGTCTAAATTTCCGATTCTCTTGCAGGGTTCGCTCTGCTTGACACATTCAATCTCTTCGTGTAATTCTGACAGTTGAATTACTCGAACTATCACCTCTAATGAAGCTCGAAATTCAGGAATACTCACCGAGTATCGTTTATTCTGCTTTGCGACAACCTTTTCCTTACAGTTTTTTACAAAACGAAGCACCAATCCAATAACACGCTGAAGTTTTCGGAATGAGCTGTACTTCGTGAAGACTGGGAGTACTTCAATCAACGCCGCTGAACCTTGAGTCACTCTTCGAAGTTCCGGAATCTGATCTTCGGGAAACGGATCTGCTTCGTCCGGATGGATTTCTGCTTCATTCAAAAACACCGGACCGCTCCACCATAGTCTGTTTACTCGTAGCGAATCCGCAAGTTGGCCACGAGACACAACATCTGCCGGATTGTTTGAAGTATGCACGTAATCCCATTTCGCATTCCACTTGTACGCCGATTCATTGATTTCAGCCACTCGGTTTCGAACGAAGACCTGCAGCGAGGCCGATGATTTCTTGAGCCAGGCAAGTACGATTTGACTATCACTCCACAACAAAATCTTCTGGAACTCTATTTGCAACGCAGGAACCGCCTTGTCCACAAGACGACTCAGGAGCAGCGCAGCGCACAACTCCTTCCGAGGGATAGTCAGCTCCTTCAGTGGTGCCACCTTAGATTTGCTGCACAAAAGCTTAGTGAGTACACCCCGGTCACTGTCAATGCAGCGTACATATAAGCAGGCACCGTAAGCAAGCTTTGAAGCATCTGCAAAACCATGAAGTTCGATAACCTCCGCATTCTGGGATACCACGCCTCTTGGAATTCTCATGGATGATAAGTCTGGCAACGAGCACGCAAACATTTGCCAGGCTCTTAACTGCTCTTCTTTCAACTGCTCATCCCAGCCTAGCTCGCTGGCCCAGAGATCTTGCATGATGAGCTTAGCAAGCACAACGATTGGCGATACTAGGCCCAGTGGATCGTATAGCCTGGCTATCTGCGACAACACGTATCTTTTGGTGATCTTCTCCATTTCTACCTTTTCTGCTTCTGGAACTGCAAACAGGAACTCATCCGTTACAGGGTCCCATAGTATACCCAATGTCTTGATCACTTCACAACCACTGATGTTTTCTAACTCGAACGGTTTTTCCTTCTCTTCCTCAGGAATATTCCTCAAGATCTCTGGAGAATTTGATGACCACTTGTGTATCGGGAATCCACCGGATTCCAACAGCTGCTTCAACTGTACTATTCGATCTGCTGCTTCCGGAATGCTATTTGCACCACTCAAAATATCGTCCACATAAAAATCGTTCTCAACGATCTCTGCAGCCATAGGAAACCGCTCTTTTTCGTCCATTGCAAGCTGCTTCAACGCTCTTGTTGCCTGAAACGGTGCGGATGCCGTTCCGTATGTCACCGTTGTGAGCTCGAACACTTTTAATTGCTGACTCGGATTCGATCTCCAGAACATTCGAAGATACCTAGTGTCTAGAGGATTCATCCAGACTTGCCGGTACATCTTTGTAACATCAGCTTTGAAAACGACTGTATGCTTCCGGAACCGCAAATCGATGGAGAAGAGGTCGCTCTGCACTACAGGACCAACATGAAGAACATAATTAAGCGACCTTCCCGATGACGATTTTGCTGAAGCATCGAACACGACCCTCAATTTTGTGCTGGAACTTGAGGGTCTCAAGACAGCGTGGTGGGGCAGGTAGTATGTTTGCAAATTTGGTGGATCCGTTGACTCATTGATCTCCTTACAGTGTCCCAAGCTTTGGTACTCATTCATGAATGCCTCGTATTGATGCCGAAGGTCCGTACAACGACTTAAACGTTTCTCCAACATCATAAACCGCTTAACGGCCATTGCTCTGGAATCACCTAGTTCGTTGACATTATCCTTGAAAGGAAGTGACACAATGTACTTGCCATTCCTATCACGACGATGGGTCTCCTGGAAATGTCGTTCACAAAAGTCTTCGCTTGCAGCTTCATCCCGGTCTGAGACATCTTCAATTTCCCAAAATTTCTGGATCAACGTCTTCAACGACGGTGACACGATAGCGGCATTCGAATGCACAACCACTGTTTCTGTTTCTTCTCCGTTGCTGTTAATTTCTCCTGTTACGATCCAACCAAGCCTGGAATTGTGAAGCTCAGGAAGATTTGCAGCTAACTTCAACGTTCCTGGAACCAGTAGCTGCCAGAACAATCCACAACCGATAAGCAAATCGATATCGTCTGGCCGGTGAAACTCTGGATCAGCTAGATCAGCAGTTGATTTGTGCAGAGAAATCCGAAATCCTGGACGTAAACTCAACCGCCATCCGCTTGTTTCCGGTAGACTTGGTACCATTGATTCCAGTAACGGTTACGTGAGTTGGTGATGATGGCAGATCAAGTAACTTGGCCATCCTGGTCGATAACATGTGTGACATAGAGCCTGGATCAATAAATGCTCGACATTTTTGAACTTTGTGGTTTTTATCCTTCACATGTACTACTGCTGTCATAAGCAGCACCTGACTGGGCGAATGAGGCATGCTATACGAACAAATGGTAGACTTATCGGAATCCTTTTCCTCTGCTGATGGTAAACGTCGTGGCTTGCTGCTTCCTGATTCCGCATCTTCTTGCTGCTCCGATTGCTGCGCCTTGTTCCGGTTACTTGATCCTTTCTGTGCATCTTCCAGGTGTAGAAGAGTATTGTGTTTTAACTTGCACACCATGCACGTCTTCTTTGATTGACACTCTGCCAGCCTATGGCCTTTACGAAGGCAGGTGAAGCAAACCCTTATGTTCTTGGCTCTAGCTATACGCTCGCTTGTACTCAACGCACGGAACTCTTCACAACGGAACGTCTGATGTACCTTGTTGCATAGCTAACATGAATACCCGTTGGTATTGTCGATGGTTGCTACTAAAGTTTTCGTAACACTTTTAGTTGGTGCTGACTTCACGTTCACCTTCGCTTTTGGGTTGACTGACGATTCTGGAGCCTCGCATCGTTCCAAAATTTGACAACGTTTCCTCAGAAAATCTATTGTCTCGTTGTACGTTGGCAGCTCTCCATACTCCAATGTAGCTTCCCATAACTTCTTTGTTTCAGGATCCAAGGCATCGGACAGGTGGAGAATAACCATTAAATGGGAAACTCCTTCGCAGTGTTGTCCCATGAACTCCAGGTGGTCGACGTGCCGTGTACATTCCTCGACTAATTCACGAAGCTCGGTAGAGGACTCCTTTGTCATCCTTTTCATCTTGCTCAATCCTCGGAGGTGCGTTTCTATAATGTTGCGCTTGTTTTCGAAGCGATCCTCTAGTATTTTCCATGCCCGCTGGTAGTTGTTGTCGTTTATGGTTTTGATGTCGATAACCCCAGCTGCAGCTCCTACCAAGGACTTTTCCAAGTGATAGAGCTTAACAGCATCTGAATCACTGGAATTTTTTATTAAGTCCAAGAACATGGACTTGAATTTGGGCCAATTCTCATATTTTCCGTCAAATGTAGGCAGGGGTACTTTCAAGCTCTGTTGTTGAACGACGACTCTCTCTGATGTTCCAGCGAACAGATGATCCGGGTGGTGGCAATGATAGACAATTTACGATCGTTTGGAGCATCACCAATGTGTCCGTGTACAGCTCTTCAAATTCTTCATATTTTATTTCTTGAGATTTCCTACCTTTTTTGTTGACGTTGTCCAGTACCTGACTGTGGTACAGCAAGTACTCGTCGTAGTGCTTGGCCAGGTTGCTCTTCATTACTTGCGCCCTTGGTAAGTTAATATTACGCCGTTCCATTCGCAAGGTGCTTCGGAGTCTTGTCACTTTCGCTTTCACTTGCCCACGCTTGTAGATAAGCAAGCTTAGCTCGTCTTCCTCTTCTTCTTCTTCAATTTCTTCTTCACTCGCTTCTTCATTTTCTTCTTCGTTTTCTTTCTGCACTTGGCCATCGTCGGCCGGTTTTTGTGGCGGAGTATGTATGAGCGACATTGTTCACTACTCGGTGCACTATCACTTGCTCAAAAAAACTCTCTATTCCACCTTTCACTGTTCCGAAACACCTTTCGGTTGATTTTATAAACTTTCTCGCAAAACGTGGCAATTATCCACTTTTCTTCGGTATCCGGTGTTGAAGGACCATATGTTGGGGCTCTAATTAAGTCCAACGAAAATTCTGCTGGTTTTATTGCCCTGAAAGGCCACATTTATTTGCCCTGAAAGGCTACAATGACTTGCCCTGAAAGGCCACTATTTTGCCCTGGAAGGCACCAAACTTTTCTTTATTTTCCTTATTTAATAACAAAATAATTGATTCGTTCGAACTAAATACTGCGACGGTCGAACTTGTTCTGCTGTTCTCGCAGCGCGTATCATCCTGCCTCTCGTACTTCTCTTTCGTTCTCGGAAATGCTCGTTGTCCTTCTCTCTTTCAAGCAAGCATAGCGTTTATCTTGCGTTGCGAGGGGTTAGTCGATGCATCGTAGTAGGCTGTGTTTGTAACATGTCAAAACTTTTCACTATCGTTCGGACTCGGAAGGAAGCGGACGAACAATCCTCTTAAATATTCTCGCATGCAAGTAGGTTATTTATAAATTATGAAATTCTCCCAAGAGTTGATGATCATAAAATTTACAAAGACCTTTAAAAAACCATAGATCAGCGTTATGTTCTCTTATTATCATGGTAATTCTACTGGTTGATTAGTAATTACTCTAAACATCTCTAATTGCTCAATAAATCAAATCTTGTATCTTAATCTTATTTTCTATTCTCGCAAGAAAGTAGGTTGATCAGAAATTGTTCCAAAGAACTTAAGAAGGTTATAGACCTGCACTATGGCGTCTTAATTTTTATGGTTAGTTACTTAATAGTCGGAAGACCTCTAATTGTTCAATAAATCAATCATTGTATATTAGAAAGTCTCCCAAGAGTAGGTTGATCAGGATTTTTTTACAAAGACCTTCAGCACTATGGTCTTTGATTATTTTGGTTATTTTCCTGATTGATTTGTAATCATTCCGATGATTTCTAATTGTTCAATAAATGAAATCATGACTCTTAGATATTCTCGCAATTTTGGCGTCCTAGCAAGAAGTTCGGTCGACTTGTTTCGCGCTCCGTTGTTTTGGAAGTTTTCTCGGTATTCGCTTGATATAAATTATCAGTTTTTTCTCACTAAGTGACTCCTGGCATAGTTCCCGGTAAATTGATCGAAAAGTGAGTTTTTTTAGTAGAAAGTGTCATTTTCGGAACGATTAATCCGTGCTATTGGTAATTCGAAAACCAATTTGGGCATCATCGTTGCGCGGTCACGCATACGCGCTCACGCATACCCGCTCACGTATCATCATCATCGAGTGTGCACCCGTTTCTACATCTACATCGTTCATCAATCATCATCGTGCGCCTGTGTGCGCTGAGTACCGAGCCTCGATCAAGTGCACCACAACGAAGGTCATCCACGCAGCGCGTCTCTTCCAGCCATCTGTGTAAACGCCTACACATATAACGCTCGGTGGTAGTAGTATAGAATTATCAGATAAGTTTTTTTTTTTTGTTTCTTTTCCTCCCCCATTAGTTGAATTTTCATTTTGTATTTCTGTGTTTGTAGTGTTTTCTGTGTATTGTGTCTTTGCGTTCAGTGGGAGAGCGTTTTGCGCTCCCACTAGTTGAACAAAATGGATGTTTTGTCAGAAGACGACATGGATGACCATTCATCTAAGAAAAATGATGATGTCATCCATGGTTCGTCGTCTCAGTCTGTCAATGAGCAGGCTGAGAAAAGCTCCAGATTGCGGGCCTACCCGAATGACTCGACTGGCCCATGGGTTGTCTATTTTCAGCCCAAAAACAAACCCTTGAATGTTGTTCAGATATCTGATGATCTGACAAAGCGATTCTCTGCCGTGACCGAAATAACGAAGGTTAGGCACAACAAACTTCGTGTGACCGTCGCTAACCTGAAACAGGCCAATGAAATTGCTGTTTCCCAGTTTTTCACACTGGAATATAGGGTGTACATTCCAGCCTCTGATGTGGAGATCGAAGGCGTGGTCACTGAGGCGAGCCTGAACCCCGAGATACTGGAGAAGCAAGCGGTTGGCCGATTCAAGAACCCCTTGCTTCCTCCGGTAAAGATACTGGCCGTTCATAGAATGAAGTCAGTATCGCTCAGCGAGGGTAAAAAGAGTTTTACCCCCACAGACTCGTTTCGGGTGACCTTTTCTGGATCTGCCCTTCCTCAATACATCGAGCTGGGAAAACTTCGTCTTCCTGTGCGGTTGTTTGTACCTCGGGTCATGAACTGCCAGAATTGTAAGCGGTTGGGACATACGGCCTCCCACTGCGGCAACAAGGCACGCTGCTCCACATGCGGGGAGAAGCATGAGGATGGCGCCTGCGCAGCTACTGCACCAAAATGCGTGTACTGCAACGGAACTCCTCCTCATGCTCTCTCGTCGTGCCCGGCGTACAAACAGCTCGGGGACAAAATGAAACGCTCCCTTAAGGAACGTTCCAGGCGGTCTTTTGCAGAAATGCTTAAGACAGCCACGCCATCGACCAATGACAAAAATCCCTTTTCTCTTTTGTCAGATGACGAGACTGACTCTGACTTGGCTGAGGAGGGAACTTCTTTCAGTTTTCCGGAAGGTTCTGCACGGAAACGAAAGCGCATCCGTTCGCGGATTGTTGCAAATAAAGAACCCCAAATCAGCTTGCCCAAATCAAGGAGTGGTGGAAAAAAGGAGACTTCTACTCCTCCTGGATTCCGCAGAACTGACTATACCCAGGATTTTCCACCTCTTCCGGGGACATCCAAAACCCCTGATGCCCCAATTTTAAGAACAGAAACCCCTTCTTCATCTGGGCTGTTCTCATTTGATGACATTGTGGACGGTATTCTCACATACCTCAACATTTCTGATCCTCTGAAAAGCATTGTCCTCACATTGCTTCCCACTGTGAAATCCTTCTTGAAGCAATTGACTTCAAAATGGCCCCTTCTTGCAGCTATCATCTCCTTCGATGGATAATTTTCCAAACGAGGTCGGGGATTTGATCACTGTTCTACAGTGGAATTGTCGAAGTCTTATTCCGAAATTAGATTCGTTCAAGTATTTAGTCCATAACAATAATTGCGATGCATTTGCCCTCTGTGAAACATGGCTCTCTTCAGAAATTGATCTCCCTTTTTATGATTTTAACATTATTCGATTGGATCGTGAGGATTCACGTGGAGGAGGGGTACTTTTGGGGATCAAAAAGTGCCATTCCTTCTATAGAGTGAATCTTCCCGAATTCCCCGGTATTGAAGTTGTCGCATGTCAGGCTACCATTAAAGGTAAGAGCCTTTGTATTGCTTCTGTATATATTGCTCCTAGAGTCTCTGTTAATCGCAAACAACTTTTCGACATATGTGCGGTACTTCCCGCTCCATGGTTGATCATGGGAGATTTTAACTCCCACGGTACAGGCTGGGGGGAACTGTACGATGATAACCGTTCTACTTTGATTTATGATCTCTGCGACAACTTCAACATGACAATCCTTAACAATGGAGAAGTAACACGTTTGGCTGGTCCATCCTCGAATGGTAGCAGATTAGACCTCACCTTTTGCTCCAATTCACTATCGTTGGATTGCACTTGGCATGTAATCCAGGATCCGCACGGTAGTGATCATTTGCCGATCAAAATTTCGATTGCCAGTGGGTTCAACTCGTCAGAATCCGTTAACGTCGCGTATGATCTAACCCGTAACATCGATTGGACTAAGTTCCAATCCGCGATAGACGATACAGTATCGTCAGTGGAAGAGCTTCCGCCGTTGGAGGAATATAATTTCCTCTCTAATCTCATCGTCGACAGCGCACTTCAAGCTCAAACACGACCGGTGCCGCGATCGTCTATTCGTAAGAAAACACCATCGCTCTGGTGGGATCAACAATGCACGGAGGTTTACCGTAAAAAGTCCGACGCGTTTAAACTTTTTCGGAAACGCGGAACACGCGAGCATTTCGACGCATACACATCTCTTGAACGCGAACTCAAGAGCCTCATCAAGGCCAAAAAACGGGGTTACTGGCGGCAGTTTGTAGACGGATTGTCGCGCGAAACGTCTATGAATACGCTTTGGAGTACGGCGCGAAGAATGCGTAACCTGTCTACTAACAACGAAAGCGAGGAATGCTCGGATCAATGGATTCTTAAATTCGCGCGAAAAGTGTGTCCGGATTCCGTGCCGTCGCAGTTGATTCCTCGCGAAACCGCGAATTCGGTAGACGAAATCAGTCAGCCTTTTTCAATGGTGGAACTTTCACTAGCTCTCCTTTCGTGTGGCAATTCTGCCCCGGGATCTGATAGAATCAAGTTCAACTTGCTGAAAAACCTCCCAGACGTCGCTAAGAGGCGCATGTTGAACTTGTACAATCAGTTCTTGGAGCTCAATATTGTTCCCGACGATTGGAGACGAGTAAGGGTGATAGCCATTAAAAAGCCTGATAAACCCGCGTCGGATCACAATTCGTATCGGCCCATCGCGATGCTGTCGTGTATTCGGAAATTGATGGAGAAAATGATCCTTTTTCGCCTCGACAAATGGGTTGAGACGAACCACCTTCTTTCAGATACTCAATTTGGTTTCCGTAGGGGTAAGGGAACGAACGACTGTCTCGCGTTGCTTTCCTCGGAAATTCAGTTGGCTTTTGCTAAGAAAGAGCAAATGGCTTCTGTGTTCTTGGATATCAAGGGGGCTTTTGATTCAGTATCCGTTGAAGTTCTTTCAGAGAAACTCCACGCTTGTGGTTTGTCTCCATTAATTAATAATTTTTTGTACAATTTGCTGTCAGAAAAACATATGAGCTTTTCTCATGGAAACTCTACAGCTTTTCGATTTAGCTACATGGGTCTCCCCCAAGGCTCATGTTTAAGCCCCCTTTTGTACAATTTCTACGTTAGAGAAATTGATGTCTGTCTTAGTGACAATTGCAC